CGAGAACATTTAATACCCAGAAGATGACCATATCACTTTCAACATAATTTTTTGAAGATTTGTTTTATGTAATGAAATGATGATTAATACAACACATCGAACAGTGAAAGTTTACTACACCGGCACTTAGACTGCACGCGCAGGAATCAAAACCTCAATCAACACCTAAACCAACACTGGTGGTACTTCCAGGAGAAAGCCATTATATTTGAACATCTGGAAATGTTTATTGGATTAATTAAGTCTACCTCCAAGTAGGGATCATTCCTGAATTAGCTGCAGATACTTTTTTTTTCCATCCCATCAATATTCGTATTTCAAAAGCATTTATGGTTACCCTATTCCCTCGTCAAACAAGTTTTATATGATTTTGTTGGAATAATTTGTTCTCAATTTTTTTTCTCTCAATAAAATTCAACAGTGATATGGTCAGCTTAGTTATCCGTGGATCAAATATAACTTTCCTTTTCAATAAATAATAGTTTACTGTTAAATACGTTATTATATTTAAATGAACACATATCTAGCAAAGCCATACTTTAACCACTGACATCACATCGTGTCTGTAAAATGTCCACTGTTTACTGGTGTTTGGGCGTTCGCTTTAAGGGTTCTGGTTTGTTTGACGGTTTGGGAGTGTGTTTACCGGTTAATAAGGCATATCTCTGCTTACGTCAATCCTGTACTATAGAGATAGGTTCGCTTACCACGAAGGACTTATTAAGGATTCTGTTAATACTGTCTGCGAACATCATCTTTTAGTCTTTTTTTCCGAATCGATTTCTTACTTTAAATAAAATGTATATATTTAATCCAATCGCTATACTTTTAACGTTGTCATGTGTGTTATTAGGTTTTAAATGCCACCTTGATGTGGTAACATCTGTGAACAGTATTTTACCAGGGTTATTTAAAACGATGCTTTAAAGTTGTAACCTGTTGTTGTCTCTTCCTAGACATATATAAATAATAATGATTCTCCCCCAACACAAATACTGAGACGGATCTTGACGTCAATAACTTGTAAACAATCCATTATGGTTGTTTTTCTCGGTCCATTAACTTTTCGACGTTCTACTCACACAATATGCAGCCAGTGAAATATCCTGAAATCACTAATGTTATGAGCTATTTTTACGTAGCGCTGTGGTTATATATGCCTAACCGTTGTCATGTGTTTTGTTATGTTCTGTATTTATGAGTTAGCCTGCTGACTTAGTTGCACTCCTATACACGAGCTGTTATATATTATTCATTGTTAGCTAATCTATAGAACGTAGCAACCGGGTAACTCATTACAAAATCGATGTAGTTCTTTACCTATAATTCAGAGTTTCGTATTTAATAAATAATAGTTTTGTCTATCGAAAAATACAGCATTTCTCCGTGCGCTCGATAGTCTTCAAACCAGTAATGAACAGCAGATTGCTTATAGCAGTTCTGTAACTGGCCTATACAAAGGATTGAAAACAGATATATTTTCTTCTTCCTAGCGTCTGTTCATTGACTGATCCAAGACCATTCCGGATTCTCTCCTTAACATTCAGGAACCAATGTTTTTCGATTGTTAATATTTTCAAAATTAATATATATGCGCGAGAAAATGATTGCTTTAATTTAAAAAGTGAGTTCTGAAATTATCTCCGCTTCTCTCGGAAACTGTATCATCAGATGACGCATGCGCGTTATTTAATGCCTAGCAACACGTTTGAATCTTTGTTAAATCTACAATTTGGATACGCGGACACAGTTAATCCTATTGTGAGGTTATAGTATTACTGATTACACAAAATGCTATTAAAAAGAGGTCTTTAGATAATGTGTGAAATAATAGTTGTCTAATACAGACAACGTTTTATCGCCATTCTGTCGCGAATTCGAGCCATAGAGAAAGGAACGTTTCTGTAAAAGTCAACGGACCAGCAGATTGTTGTTCTATGGTGGTAGATACTCACAATTTATTCAAATATCCTGTGTACAGTTGCTAGCGGACACGATGATAAGTCAGCAGAGTTCAAACGGAGACGTTACATACCCCACGGTCTACCGTCTCATCATGGCTACTTCTTTAAATGTTTAATGATATTGAAGTGACGTCGTTAGGAATAATCTACCGACTTGTATGTAACGTTGCCGTTAATAGCTGATTACTTGTATGTTTGGGGAAGTTACATCGTAAATAGCTACAGTTGTGTGACCGCACACAAAAAATGTGTATGCACATCGTGCATACATCGTGCGCACAACTGTGCGATTTAGCAATCGTTCGCCCCGTTAACGTTGTGCGCTACGTACGTACACTCTCCCTCCGCACATATGAATTGGTTGATCAATATTACGGAAGGAAAAAGAGCCCTCGTATGGAATAAGGAACACTGTATATAAAAATTGCTCAGCAAATTAATTAGGATTATGTTTAGTTTTACAATGCGTGTCACACAACATTACAGTGACCGTTAGACAGACCGTAAATAATATGTTTAACTTACAGGTAATAACAGAACAGGTAAATAACATTTTGATGACTGACCGGAGTTTTACCTGGCCTGTGCCAGACAAAGAAAGTTGATATGTGATACCGTTTTACTGTTATGAAAACACAACTGGACGTTAGGTATTTGTTATTTGCATTCGTTTTGGTCCATAGCACCCCTTTACATGGATTTCCACACCTTGGGGAGTTACGTAAGTTGGGGACAACTACGGTCCATGTACAGGAAAAAAGTGGCTATGCTTACCTATATACGTTACCTTGTCAATACATGTACACTGTATGCAAGCTTTAAGCCTTGCGGTTCATAGACATAGTTTTGCAACATTTATACACTGATAACAATGACATAGAATAAACCTATAGAATGATATGGATGTAACATCACCATGTACAGGATTTGTGGGGGGAAAACATTATACACTGACAGTATCGAGACTGAAATATTGTCCTGTACAGGTCATACACAACTATGAACAGTGTGTAGGGAATTACGTTTTTCTACTCAAACACCTTTAAAAATTGAGTATATGCATTATGCGACTACATTATTCTATTCAAATATATATATAAAGTGGAAAATGGACAGTATATAGGATATGGCATTTATATTAGCAGACGTGCCCTAAAAGGACACACACGTATTTTAAAATAAGGTACATTATTTTTTCCGGTAACTTGACCGTGTTGTAAGGCTTGATTAACAATGGACAATATATAGTAAAATACATTATACAATCACCTGGGGTACACCGAGAGGAGGATAGTCAATGTCATGTGCGCTAGGAGACGAACCTATACCACACGTTCATAAACTTGAAATAAGTTAATAATTGTACCATATGCTAAGGTTGAAATCTTTACCGTACTAGTAGACTTAATTGCAGGTATTTACCGAGATCAAATAGTTCTTTTCTATTAGCTATTGCTAGCAACTGCACCGGTGTAAATGAAGACGGTCTGTTCCAGTAAAAAATATAAAGTTATATATTAAACGTGTTTAAAACATTGTAAAACATCTTTTTATTTACTACATAGTGGTTTAATCAAACACCCCGAACTGTTGCTAACAAATGTTTGACTGGGCAGCGCCAGTTACAGTTTCTGTGATTACATTCATCCATATTTTCATATACTGACTTGAGAATACAATTATCAGATTTAATTATTTTTTTTTGCATGTGTCGATTTGGGTCGTTTAAATAAACACCGAAACCACCATTTCCAAATTTAAGAAAATATAGATAGAAAGATCAGCTTATGTACATAAATGTTTGTAGCTACAATATAGAATTATACTTAAAAATCAAGTGTATATGTTTAAACACGAAGCCGTATTTATTGTTAAGCCATTTCTCAATTTACACCAACCACGATTGTCATTGCACAACGTTCGTTCATCGTCCGCACAAATGTGCGCAAGCAATAATCGTCCAGATTTTAATCGTTCGCAAATCATGCACACATCGTGCACACTCCGTGCGCCCATCGCGCACACACCACACATCGCGCGCACACCGTACATCGTGTAACGTTGTACGTTCCCAAAACTGCAACTACTTTCTAAACTAATGACGTAGGCGTCCTAAGTAGTTTGGTTTGGTTTTATTGGACTAAACGTCCTATTAACAGCTAATGTATATCAAGGACGTCCCCCCATGTGTGTATATATGCGTGCATATGTGCTGGAGATAGTATGTTGGTGGATTTGCTTCCTTGCGATAGCGCAATTCTGATGTCGTCTTTACTGTGCTACCTCACTGAAATGCCATGCCGAAGGCACCCAGAGCAGTATCCACTAGTTCACATTATACCGACAACGGAATAAACCTGTTGCTGCTATTACCCTCAATGCTGAACGTTCAGCGGGGTGTAATACCTAGCTTTTAAAGGACTTTGGTATATCCCGGCCTGAGGACAGAACCCATTGTCTTTCTCAACGATGTCAAAAGTGGGATATAAGCCAAGCAAGACGCAAGGAAACAAAACGGGTTGTTGGGTACTAGAGAGGGAATGTAGATTCCTAATGTTGCAATAATTGCAGCAGCTTTATTCCGGTCGCTTGAAAATGTTGCCATAAATAGCTTATTACTTTCGCAAATAGTTGACGTTGGCGTTAGTGAGTGACTAACGACCAGTATTCGTTGCATGTGAGGTAGATCGACATTTCCAATGCACGTGGCTTTTAGGTCCCGTACCACCATTCCATTGCGTGGATGATAAAGCGATAAGACCGACAGTGGTATCTACAGCGTAATCTATATACGATGGTACTCCGTCAATGACCTGCCCCACACAGTTGTACGGAAACCGTAGGCAGATAATCAATGACTGCTTCATTCATGTTTCGTCACCATTAACGGGTCGCTCTCTCAGTCAACCACTGTCAATCTTCTATAAATACACAGATTTCGCATCAATATCGCCTACTGCTTCATTTAGCTCGATTCAATCGGTGTCAGCAGACCGACGTATATATCCTGGCTGATGTTGCTGTCTCGGCGTGGCAATCGGACTAGTACTTGTGAAGGCTTTCTCCCGTGCATTGACGTTTGGAATATAGTTATGGGTGGTGTCAAATGTTGAAATATTGATTTACTGCGAATTTGACCAATAGTGTGTTAAGACTGTGTGTTCCGTTTTAGAGGATGGTCCCCGGTTATATTGACTTCAGAAGGAATTCTAAGCACCGACAAAGGAGGGTTGTTGACAATCAATTCCACGAACAAACGACAGTGTTTGGTGATACGTATTCAAACCTAATGAGAGACTGAAAAACGTCATCATATTGTGAAACTGTTTGGATGGGAATACCAGGATATTTGGATGTTCTTTTGGCCCTGTTTGGCCTGAACTATTACTAACATTTGAGTATTTCACTGGTTCAGATAGGACGGGCGTGCTACCACAGTCAGGTCTTCGGTTGACCCCGTTGGGGCGGGAATACCAGACTATTTGTTTGTTCTATATGCACAGTTTGGACGGGAGTTCAAGCAGCCACGGTTATTTCGGACCCTTGTTGGCCTCGAGGGCTGGAAGGGAGATCCAAGCTGATCCCAGGCTGATTAACCCAAATAGATGGTAATGGGACAGACGATTAATCCGGGTGGTGTCAGGGGAGTGATATTTGTTCGTTTAAGGAAAACTGTGGTAATGGACATGCACTGGTTATACGGGCAAGCACGTGCATGGTTTGTGTAAAATGCCGAATTAAAGCGAAAGGGTTCGTGTTGCGGTTTACCGCAATCGATTTTGGCACAGGCCTAGGTCTCCGACTGAAGGTCATGTTTAATGGTCGATATATAACTTGTATATCAAAGTCGACGTTTTCTTGTGTGATTTTCAATGAGTTTAATTACTAATAGACTGCCGTTCAGTTTGAACTTGATATTTTTGTCAGGTTTTGATTTCTAGATGCCATACTGTCAATCTTCTCTTACATGGTAGCGCGATCCTTTATGCGCCGTATGTAATGTATAAACAAGATGGAAACAGTTTCGGACACATATGTAGCATTCGTAATGGCAGTATTAAAGATGTTATCGATTTAATGAAATCCAACTCGCGCATTGAACGTAAGTAATATGATAACTATAATAAACTGGAATAATATATTACATTATCTGGGGACTTCATCTGTATGATTTGTTCGTCTATGTATTTAAGGTCCTTCTTACTTACACGTCTATTTCATTCTGTCTTTCCAGGTCCCGAAAGATCGTTCCGTCCGCTTGCGTGTCATGCCCGAACAGAGCAACGACTACCGCGTGGTAGTGTTCGGGGCCGGAGGTGTGGGGAAGAGTTCTCTCGTGCTCCGGTTTGTGAGGGGCACATTCAGGGAAAGTTACATCCCGACCATCGAGGACACTTACAGGCAGGTGATCAGCTGTAATAAACAGGTGTGTACCCTACAAATCACAGACACAACGGGCAGCCACCAATTTCCCGCCATGCAACGATTGTCAATTTCTAAAGGACACGCCTTTATTCTGGTGTACTCTATCACAAGTAGGCAATCTCTCGAGGAGCTCAAACCAATATTCGATGAAATTGCGGAAATCAAAAGTGAAATGGAAGGTATACCTACAATGTTAGTGGGAAATAAGTGTGATGAAACGAACCGTGAGGTACCCCAAAGAGAAGGGGCGGAATTAGCAAAAAAGTGGAATTGTGCTTTCTTAGAAACGTCAGCCAAGACTAATTACAACGTAAAAGAATTATTCCAGGAACTGTTACAGTTGGAGAAAAGGAGAACTATGAGTTTACAATTAGAGACGAAGAAAACCAAATCACAGAAACGCAAGGAAAAGTTGAAAGGCAAATGCACCGTTATGTAAAACAAAACAAAAAACATGCAATGGACGTGAATCTGTATATATGTGTAGCATTACGTCCGTAGCCTTACTCCGAGCACGTGTTGGAGTGTAGATAGTTTTACATTTCATCACGTTCCTATACACATAGACCTGTACTACTCAGTAGCTGGATATGAGGGTTCATCTGTCCGTCTCTTTGTCCGATTGAATATTGGAAATCTGTCTGAAAAGTGACGCATTTTCATCCTAGTAGTTACGGAATGCCAATCATCGACACATTTCCAATATTGTAAATATATTCCTAAATGGAGACAAATGTTGGCGGATTTTGTGATCGATCTGGCAGCTGGATGTTTACCGCTTGATCGATGTGTTGATCCGGTAGTCCAGCCGGCCTGTCAGGTGTCAGCACTTCGTCACGGAAGAGTTACCTCTCATTATCTTTTAATTACTCACCAGGGGCCGCTTTCTCTGCAAAACAGTGTACAGACAGCGTCCTCTAGTTCTTTCTTACGGGCGGGGGTGTATGTATTATTGTTACTGACTTACAGAGTTATATCATAGAAACACAAACTCTCCACTCCAAGTTTATCTTCTGAGATGTCTGCTTTCATTTACTCGTGGTGTTTCTTATCTAATGAAAGTTTTGTTAAATCTTTTGAAGAAATAAACAACAATGCAGTAATCGATTGGTAGACTTGATTTGCCCTAGTTAGAACGATTGTGTCATTCTTGTCGCTGAAACCAGGTGTAAACAGTTATTACTTAAGACAATGATAATTATGTTGATATAAGCGTCTGTGATGTATAGAAGTTCTTTACCCGTACGTAGATAACAGAATAACGCATAGTGAACAAGAAGGAATTTGAAACATGTTAGACTTACCTCAACCTTTTCTCCATACTGCTTTTCTAGGATCAGCTGGATTCCGTAGTAAATGCAACCATTTTGAGACGAAAGAGTCCGATACAGAGACACTAGGAAACACTGTGATTTATAAAAATAAGTTTCATGTGTATCTTATTTAACAGGTATTGAATGATACATTATCTACAGGTATTGTATGATACATCATCTACAGGTATTGTATTATACATTATCTACAGGTATTGTGTGATACATTATATACAGGTATTGTATGATACATTGTATACAGGTATTGTATGATACATCATCTACAGGTATTGTATTATACATTATCTACAGGTATTGTATGATACATTATCTACCGGTAGTGAATGATACATTATATACATGTATTGTATGATACATTATCTACCGGTAGTGAATGATACATTATATACAGGTATTGTATGATACGTTATCTACAGGTAGTGAATGATACATTATATACAGGTATTGTATGATACATTGTATACAGGTATTGTATGATACATTATATACAGGTATTGTACGATACATTATCCACAGGTATTGTATGATACATTATCTACAGGTATTGTATTATACATTATATACAGGTATTGTAAGATACATTATCTACAGGTATTGTATGATACATTATATACAGGTATTGTACGATACATTATCCACAGGTATTGTATGATACATTATCTACAGGTATTGAATGATACGTTATCTACAGGTATTGTATTATACATTATATACAGGTATTGTATGATACATTATCTAATAAAAATAAGTTTCATGTGTATCTTATTTAACAGGTATTGAATGATACATTATCTACAGGTATTGTATGATACATTGTATACAGGTATTGTATGATACATCATCTACAGGTATTGTATGATACATCATCTACAGGTATTGTATTATACATTATCTACAGGTATTGTGTGATACATTATATACAGGTATTGTATGATACATTGTATACAGGTATTGTATGATACATTATATACAGGTATTGTATGATACATTATATACAGGTAGTGTATGATACATTATCTACAGGTATTGTATGATACATCATCTACAGGTATTGTATGATACATTATCTACAGGCATTGTATGATACATCATCTACAGGTATTGTATGATACATTATCTACAGGTGTTGTATGATACATTATCTACAGGTATTGTATGATACATCATCTACAGGTATTGTATTATACATTATCTACAGGTATTGTATGATACATTATCTACATGTATTGTATGATGCATTATCTACAGGTAGTGTAGGATACATTATATACAGGTATTGTATGATACATTATATACAGGTAGTGTATGATACATTATCTACAGGTATTGTATGATACGTTATCTACAGGTAGTGAATGATACATTATATACAGGTATTGTATGATACATTGTATACAGGTATTGTATGATACATTATATACAGGTAGTGTATGATACATTATCTACAGGTATTGTATGATATATTATCTACATGTATTGTGTGATACATTATCTACAGGTATTGTATGATACGTTATCTACAGGTATTGTATTATACATTATATACAGGTATTGTATGATACATTATCTACAGGTAGTGAATGATACATTATCTACAGGTATTGTATGATACATCATCTACAGGTATTGTATGATACATTATCTACAGGTGTTGTATGATACATTATCTACAGGTATTGTATGATATATTATCTACATGTATTGTGTGATACATTATCTACAGGTATTGTATGATACGTTATCTACAGGTAGTGAATGATACATTATATACAGGTATTGTATGAATGATACATTATATACAGGTATTGTATGATACATTGTATACAGGTATTGTATGATACATCATCTACAGGTATTGTATGATACATTATCTACAGGCATTGTATGATACATCATCTACAGGTATTGTATTATACATTATCTACAGGTATTGTGTGATACATTATCTACATGTAGTGTAGGATACATTATCTACAGGTATTGTATGATACATTATATACAGGTAGTGTATGATACATTATCTACAGGTATTGTATGATACATTATCTACATGTATTGTGTGATACATTATCTACAGGTATTGTATGATACGTTATCTACAGGTATTGTGTGATACATTATCTACCGGTAGTGAATGATACATTATATACAGGTATTGTATGATACATTATATACAGGTATTGTATGATACATTATCTACAGGTATTGTGTGATACATTGCATACAGGTATTGTATGATACATTATATACAGGTATTGTATGATACATTATCTACATGTATTGTATGATGCATTATCTACAGGTAGTGTAGGATACATTATATACAGGTATTGTATGATACATTGTATACAGGTATTGTATGATACATTATCTACCGGTAGTGAATGATACATTATATACAGGTATTGTATGATACATTATCTACAGGTATTGTATGATACATTATCTACAGGTAGTGTAGGATACATTATATACAGGTATTGTATGATACATCCTCTACAGGTATTGTATGATACATTATATACAGGTATTGTATGATACATTATCTACAGGTATTGTATGATACATTATTTCCAGATATTGTATTGCTGGATACATTATATGCAAGACTGATATTGATACATTATTTACAGATACTGGAGGATATGTTATTTGGTAATATTTGTATGGATATGTACTGGATACTCTGATAAACGATGTGAGATCTTTTATTTTATGTTTTAAATTTAGTATTGAATGAATAAGTTTTTCCATAGTATATACCGAGATACATTGATAAAAGCCCCATAGTTACAGGGACTGACAGGTTCTGTGTGTCCCGGGGAATTGATTTACAATCGAGATTACTGATAATGTTACTATTTGGATGAAAATTGAATTTTTTTTCTTTTGTTATCATTCATATTACCACCATTTCATTTTAAAGTTTCCTTTTTTGTTGATAGAAATGCCATCCCTTTGTTACTTTGAAGTTTTATGTTGTTGACTCTTTCAATGTTTGAATGGCACCTACGGCTAAACTGAATGCCACAGATCCATCTGATGCTGCAGAGGTGTCTCGCTTTGTGATTGTACAGCACTGGCGGGTATCATGTGTTCACTACTTCGACGTGGTGGGTTGGTGACTTAGTTGTTATAATGTTATGTCATGCATATGTTTGTGTTGAAACTTGTTATTGCCCAATGGTTGTGATTTCTACTCTTGGAATCAACAGTTAATTGTACATACATTGTGTTCTGTTAGCCTCCTCGAGGCACGTGCAATATAGGTTCCGGCTAATATATTTGTTTGTTATAATATGACATTGTGTCATTAACTGTATAACAATGTGACATTGAGTCATTAGCTGTGTTACATTTTGTCATTAATTGTATTACAATATGACATTGTGTCATGAATTGTATTACAACATGACATTCTGTCATTAACTGCTGTACAATATGTCATTGTGTCATTAATTGTAGTACAACATTACATTTTGTCTTTAATTGTAGTACAACATGTCATTGTGTCATTGACTGTATTACAATCTAATATGACATTATGGCATTATCTTATTACAATATGACATTGTGTCATTAACTGTATTACAACATGACATTGTGTCATTAACTGTATTACAATATGACAGTGTGTCCTTAACTGTATTACAATTACAATATGACATTATGTCATTAGTTTATCACAATATGACGTTGTGCTCTTAACTGTATTGCAATTACAATAGGACATTATGGCATTATCTTATAACAATATGACATTGTGTTAATTAGTAACACAATGTAATTTATAACTGTATTCATGTTGAAAAAGTAATATAGGATGCATCAACTGTCATTACCTGGAATAGTAATGTGATTGATCTATTCCGCAGTCGTTACAGATATACATGTAGCCGTGGTTGGTTGGCCTGACCACGTAACCGGTGCACTATTTCCGATGGTTCTCTTTAAAATATTTTTAATCACTTTTACTTAAAGTTTTAACATAAATCGCGTGACTTATTTGAACACGTGACTAGACTATGCTAAGACCGAGTTGAAGATATAGAGTGTTTCAGCAATAAAGGATTTCTACCTCGTAATAATGGTATTAGATTAAAAATCATATCTGATCAGAAACTGTTCGTTTTTTCGGGCTTTGTTTACGCCCTGTGCAACTCAACCATTACCACTTACATTAAACATTCCAACACCTGTTAAACCAAACTAGACCGTACATTATCCTCGCTCACATGTATTAACGAATACTTCATTAATGAGTCGACACCGAACATCATACTCGCTCACATGTATTAACGAATACTTCATTAATGAGTCGACACCGTACATCATACTCGCTCACATGTATTAACGAATACTTCATTAATGAGTCGACACCGTACATCATACTCGCTCACATGTATTAACGAATACTTCATTAATGAGTCGACACCGTACATCATACTCGCTCACATGTATTAACGAATACTTCATTAATGAGTCGACACCGTACATCATACTCGCTCACATGTATTAACGAATACTTCATTAATGAGTCGACACCGTACATCATACTCGCTCACATGTATTAACGAATACTTCATTAATGAGTCGACACCGTACATCATACTCGCTCACATGTATTAACGAATACTTCATTAATGAGTCGACACCG